ACCATCAGCTTTCTTCACCACATTTGCTTATTCACCCGCTTTGTCTTCAGTGGTTGTGTCGGGAAGGTGAGCATCATAGGTCTTTTTCTTTTAAAATATGTTTTGGAATAAATTTATGTTTACAGAAAAGTTGCAAGGACTGGACAGAGAAACCCCATATATCCTTAACCTAGCTTCCCGTAATGCTTATATTTTACATCAGTGACTGCAGAACATTTGTTACCTACCTATTTATAAATAACATTAAAAATAGTGAAAACATATAGAAGCATAATTTAATGGAAAACATAGACTTAGGAATAGTATTGATATTATAATTTATCAACCACACACTACGACTAGCATCCCTTCAAATACCTTTATTTCATATACTATCCTTCACAGTCCTGATGGATGGGTACTTCTAGTGTCCCCTGCTCAGGATGAAGGAACTGAAGCATGTGGAAATTAAATAATTGCTTAAGGTCACCCTGGGAAACTAACTTAATGGCTGGGTGATATTGGCAAATCATTTAACCTTTCTGACATTCATTTTTTCCTCTGAAATGGAGCTGACAAGTACCAAGGGGTTCTTAGGAGAATTAACAGACAGCTCTAAAAAGCCTAGCAAAGCACCTTGTAATCCACAAATAGAACTCTTATTATAAAATCTGTATCTAATAAAAATTACGGAACAGTTATAAGATTTAAGTCCAGATGCAAAAGCTCTGTTGTTTGTTTTTTGTTCTCAATGACATATTCTTTTTGTATCAGATCAAAGAATATAGAAAGGTATATTTGCCCCTAAAATATATGGAGGCAAAGTGGATTTGAGCCGTCATGAGATATGGGTCGGCCTATAGGAAAGGGTGCACTCTTGTGCGAGTCAGTATCCTGTCCCCAAAACCAAACTCACCGCCATTGAGTTGATTCTGACTCAAGCAATTCCTGGGTAGACGGTGAGCTGTGATTTGTGAGCCAGCAGCACTCAAGCAGCTAACAGAAGGAGTAGCTCAGTCCTGAAAGGGGGTCGCAGCAGCTCCAAGAAGCATCTTCTGCAGCCTCACTGTGTGCTGCTTGGGTAACACATTCACCACATATGAGAATAGCTCCTTTGGGATTCTAGTTGATCTCTTTCCCAAGGAAAATTATGAAAGGCAGGTAGGTCATGCTACAACATCTGACACTAGGTCTAATACTAATATTTATCTTCTCCCTCTCAAGTAGTAGCTCTTTTTAGATTTCATTCACCACGAATATCTTTGTGGGCCTGGATAGTGGACATGGTAGTGTTATTTTGACTCTTCTTCATTTAGTACTCCATGGTCAGGGTTCCATCCTTACCAGGACCCAGTAATATTCACGAAGCTGGTTTCCTAAAGATGTACAAGCCTGTGCCACAGATGGCGCATCCTTACTCCACAACATGAAGGCCTGCACTGAGCTTCTCCCATTTGGACTTGCCAGAAGCTCCCCATAGCCTTTGTATTTAAAATCATGCGTACTTCTAAGATTATAGTCTGTTGCATGGTTGACCGGAGGTGCACCAGGGCTGCTACCTTACAGTGTGAACTTCCTGTACAGCTCTTTCCACTCTGGCCAATGACATCTAACTGCCATTCAGACCCTTGGGGATGTGGCTTGAAGCCATTCTCCTGGTGTAGAACCAGTATGCTGTCTTCTTTCAATTGTCATCTATTTCATTTTCTTGCTCTTCGGTTGGCTTTCACATTGTTATAGGGATTGATACACTTATTACTACCTTCACTCACTGCCACTGAGTCAGTTCTGACTCATAGCAACCCCACAGGACAGGGTAAAACTGTCCCAGTGGGTTTCTGAGACTGTGATTCTTTATAGGAGTAAAGTCTTGTCTTTTTCCTGCTATTGTTACCTTAGCTGTATTTCATAAAGCTCACTTTTTTATCATTATTACAGATATATGATCTTAGGGAACCATAATAAGCAATTATTTTTCCTTGGAAAAATTTTGGAAGCTTATAAATCATGAGCAAATATTGCAGTGAAAGTAATCTTGTCCTATCTTGCCTTTTCCCATCTATTTAGGGTCAACGAGGTACACACGGAATGCCTGGAAAACCTGGACCAATGGTGATTTTTATTACTTTCATATTCATACAATATCGCTTACATTTATTCACGCTTGCATTTGTTCCCTCATGGAAATTTATGGCGCACCTAATATGTTCTCCTACAGAAATGGCAAGCACTGCTCCTTGGAAGCTGCTTGTTTAATCAAGGAACAGAGATGTAGCAATTGTCATGAAATTCTAGTCCTATCATTCAGGGCTGCCACACAGGAATTCGGCTGGAAGTATACAAACCTAAAGGAGGAATTACCTGAACTTGCAGCGGGGGGATGATGCCAAGGAGGACTTACAGAGGAGCCATTTTCAAGCTAAGCCTTGAAAAATGAGTAGATATAATGAGCAAGATCATAGTAGGGTCCGTAAGTTGGATGTATGAAAACACACGAGAAATACTCATGGATAAAGGTGTGCAAATCCTGCTGAGATCCAGTTGATTATGGCTAGAACTCACTTCCATCGTGTTTCCAAGGCTATAACTTTCAGGGAAGCTGACTGCCACACCTTTCTCCTAAAGAGTAGTAGCTAAAGGCGTACACACCACTGACTTTCCATTAGCAACCAAGGGTTTTAGCCAAGACTCCTTCAGATCGGAGCAGGGTCAGAGATGGGTCAAGAGGCAACTTCTCTATCAAAAGGGCCAGCAGAATGGTACAACGGTTGTTAAGGATGTTGTTTTACTTGGGCTCACAATCAATACTCATGGAAACAGCAGTCAAGAAATCAAACAAAGCATTGCCCTGGGCAAACCGGTTGCCCAAGGACCTATTTAACATGTTAAAGAACAAAGTTGTCACTTTGAGTACTAAGATGTACTTGATCCCGGTCATGACATTGTCCATCCGCTTATACGCACGTGAAAACTTGACAGTGAATAAAGAAGACAAAAGAAGAATGCATGCACTTGAAGTAAGATACTGACTAGGAATAGTGACAGTTTTGTGGGCTGTCAGAATAGCAAACAAATCTGCTTGGAAGAGGGACAGCCAGGCAGACCACTCTTTAGAAATGAAGATGGGGAGCATTTGTCTCACATGCTTTGGACATGCTATCGGGAGAGAATAGTATCTGGAGGAGGACATGTTTAATAAAGTCAAGGGTCGGGAACTAAAACGAAGACCCCGCCAAGACGGACTGACGGCGTCTGCAACAAGGCGTTCCGGTAGAACCGCTGCGAAGATGGCGAGGGAGTGAACAATGTCGCTTGCAGGTGGGGTCAGAGGTGACGCGATAGCACCTAACGAAACAGACAAAAAACCATGGGAACGAAGGTGTAACGTGGGAAGGGAGGGAGGAGGCATCGGGGTGTGCCATTCTTCTTAACGCTTGTTTTTTATGCCCATTGTGGGTGCTGCTGCTTGATTTCCCGCTAACCTAGGCGAGCTTACCCTTTGTTTAACTATGGATGGTTAACTCCTCAAGTTTGAGATAGAAAACTCTGAAGGTTTATTTTGTTACTTATTTATTTGTATAAATTCCTAGCTGCTGTTCATGAACTGCTTAGGTGCCCAGCAAGACCAGGAATCCTAAGAGATCTGTGAAAATGAAGTAGATAAATCGTAATGGTTACCTTTGCAGTGGATGAAAATTACTACTTTTATTTTATCAGGGGCACTTGAATTATATCTCTATAAGCAAACTAAGTCTCATAAATTAACTTATTTTTAAAAGCCCAACTCAATTGAAATGTTTTCTAAACAGTAGAGGAATTGATTCACGTATATATTTTCTTTCATCAAATTATATAACTTTAATAATAATGGTACTTTTGAATCTTAAATCTGCATACTAATACACTAGGCATCATGAAGTAATCTTTATCTCTTATTCATTAAAATGGTAGTTTTCAATGCTGAGTGCGCAATTAGAATTATTTGTGAGCTTTTAAAATGTTGATTATAAGATTAATTAAAATAATCTCTGGGGGTGCAACTCAGAATTAGTATATTGTTTTTGTTTTATTTTTAAAGCTCCACAGTACTAAGGTTGGTAAAGGTTGCACTAAGCCAAAAAGTAGGATTTCACACTTATTCAAGTATATTGAGAAATTAATTGCATGGCTGCATTCCCCCCTGCCCCACTAAGAATCCTGTAGTAACTGAACACAAATTTATTACTGGAAATTATTCTAATAGTCTATTAAACACTTGTTTCCTGTTGAGATGGCAAATCTTAGGTCACAAGGTATATCATGCTAACACATTATTAATGAAAGAGAAAGAGAAGTCTAAGGAATATTCACGTCAGCTACAACCAACATTGAGAGAGTGTAACAGAAACAAGTTTAAGACTGTCTTTCAGTGTTTTCTTATAACAAAAGTAGAATGCTGTCATGGTAACTAAGATTATTTGCTTAAGAATATGTTCTCTCTTGTTACTTGTAAGAAGGAAATAGGGAAAATAAGTATGGTTTTAAATGCCTTTTATTCATTAATAACAGATAATATTAAAATACAGTTCTCATAAAGGCACCAGCATAACAGATTATAATTCCATTTATTTTCATCCATTACTTTAAATCCAGGCATCAAGTCAATGGCTTACACTGTGTTCATTTCCATATGTAAGATAATGATGATTTATATAAAAGACAGTGGTGGTATCTTAGCCTATCTTTACAGAATACATTAATAGATCTTGGTACAAAATGTAGCTTTCTAACCATGATTTTTATTACTTGGTTAGCACAAAACACTGCGTATCTTGAGGTGCAATTATTTAGAATAATGTATCTGTGGTTGACTTAATCGCAGAGGCTATCATTCAGAAATCTTGTTATGTTTAATATATTAGACGTGTCTTTTGTGCTAAATTGTGTCAAGATTGGGAATAAAATTGTATGTTTATCTTTAGAATTTTAAAGTATGAATGCTCTTATGTGAGAAAATCCTGAGCACTCAAAGAATCAAAGGTGGCCTAATTAGATATTTTTACAAAACCGTCTGATCTCTTTTCTGGTTTCTTTTTATAGGGTCCTCTTGGGATACCTGGCTCTTCTGGTTTTCCAGGAAATCCTGGGATGAAGGTAAGATGTACATATATTTGCCTCTCCTTGTTTACTTTGGTCTCAAAGTTAAGAACATCATTTAATTAACTGAAGAGTCTGGATGCTGCTCTTGGCTCGGAGACTAGCCTCTCCTCATTGTCCCTGACAGAAGAAGAAAATGAAGACGCTGAGATAGATTTTGTGATTACGGAAGAGCACTACTTACAATCATACAATTGCAGTATCAAACAATCTACTGGGTGGAGATTCTAGAGCTGGATAAGTTAAACAGCTGCAAGGAATAACAACTTTAATCTGAGCTGGAACTCGGTTGTTGGCTAGAGTGCCTGGGAATAATAAACAGCAGAATGTTCTAAACAATACTCAAAACCAAGCCCATGGCTGTCAGGCCGATGGCAACAGCAGGCGACAATCCTCATAGACAGCGACTGCTACATCTTTCTTATGCAGAGTGCCTGATGGCTCCCCATCCCCAGTCCTTTGGTTAACAACTGAGCAGTTTATTTCACTGTCCCAGGAGGGGAGTTAAATACATGAGCGGTTGTCAAAGGCTCTCCTCTCACATCATGCTGGCCTTCACGCTCACCAGCCCCTCTGCGCCCATTTTACGCAGCCATGAAAGGAGTGGGCAGTGAGGCTATTTGGCTCTTCTGAGTGGGAGTGGATTAATGTGTTCAGTTGGGATGCTTCACACTTGTAGTGAGTCACAATTTGTACTTTCTCTCAATACTTGGAAAGAGAAATGGAAAGTTCACAGTAGAAGGATATGAAGATTATTGCTAAGATATTACTCAATAAATCAGTAAATAAATTCAGAATACTATTTTCAAACTTTAAGCACACAGTATATTTGATTTACTCTTCATCCTGAAGAAGGGATTTACTAACAAGGTTCTGCTACTTAAAAATGACTGTGACCATGGGCAGTCCCCTCACCTCTTGTTTTTCATGGAATGACATTAAATATTAAGCAAGAAAACCCATGTAAACCCTTAGCATAGTGCTTGATGCAAAGAAAGCCCTCAACACAGAGCCATGCATCTCAGTATTGTGTTCTACGATAGAGTGAGTCTCATGTCTTGGCAGTCAAAGGATGCCCTCTGCTGAGCCATCTCCATGACTTGATTGGTCAGACCATGGTAGTCCAAAGCATTTTTGTTGGCAGATTTGGGGAAGTAGGTCATCAGGCTACTGAAAAATGTATACAAATACTTAGACTTATTATAAAAATGATTTTTTTTTTCTCAGAAAGTGTTCCCCTGGCCTATCCGTGTATCATTAAACTCCCAAGCCATTCTTATTGGTCAAGATTTTGTTGTCCCTGTTGGTTTCTGTCAAGGTTTCTTGCTCTCTGAATGAAGAAAAAACTTTCACCTTAGCTCATAGTGTTTTAGTGGTGAGGAGTGATACCGCATTGATATGATGATATATCAGAAGTATTGCTACAAACATCCTAGAAACTCTAAGTAAACAAAAATATCAAAATGTGAAGCCATTGTTTCTTAACATAGCCTTCCTCTAGGTCTGCATGCTTCTGAAGGGCGCGTTTATCTCTCTCATCTGTCGCTCAACATTCTGTACTTCGGTAGTTTGGGCATCTTCAGTCGTGTTCCTTCTCAATGTTCTTGGGTTTGGGAAACAAGACGTGTTAAGGGGCAAAGATCCGGGTGGCACAGCAGCCCCTGCTACCCTCAAGGAATGAGCAGATGCATTGTTGTGATGCGGGGGGTGGGATCCTATGAACAACTTCACTGGCTTATTTTCACCAATGCACTTTTCAGGTTTTTAAAACTTTTTTTATAATAAGCTCCTATAATCATCCTCTGTCCTCTGAGAAATTTTATCAAGATTAAACTTCGGCAACTCCAAAAGACATTAAGCCTTTTGAATATCTGCTCTACCTTGAATTGATCTGGCCTAGAAAATTCCCTCCCAAGGCAGTTTTGATTTGACCAGTTTTTCTTTACAGTACCCAAAGGACATTAAAGACAAGTAAAACATATAACCGTTTTTTTGTGTTTTTTTTAACATATAACCGTTTATATAGAATTTCTTAGAGTGAATTTCAAAACTTTGGAGAACTGTCATCTTTCTACAGCACATTGTAGCTGATACTGGGCTACTTTAGAGGTGTTAAGAAATATTTTAGTTTATCCTCTGATGCCCCTACCAGTATTTAATTATACAATAGCTTTCCAAGACCTGATATGTCTAGATTCACACGGGACAGGCACCAGTTCTGCAAGCAGAGTTGAGCTGGGAAATTTTCCTCCTTCACTTGGTTTTCTGTTGTTTAGTGAGTCTTATTGTACTTCTGAGATCTATGCAGAAGTAGACTTAAATCATCTAATGTAGGGCTGTTCCCAGTTTTTCATTATGAATCTACATTATGTTAAATGTTAAATATGCAATAACTGAAAACATCTGAAAGCGTGTAGAGAAATTCCAGACTGTGTTGAAGTTCAGGGGAGAATTTAAACTGATTTGGCAGATACATAGGATTTTCATAACTGGAGATTGGAGTGTGGAGAACATTCCTAACCAAGGAGAAATGCTCTTTGTCCCTTTAAATGTTTGCATGTAACATATAAAACTTCAAGTAAGCTATCGACTTTGAACCATATCACATTTAAGCTTAATTTTTTTCATCCCTTTAGGGAGAAGCTGGCCCCACTGGGGCAAGAGGACCAGAAGGTCCGCAGGGACAGCGGGGTGAGACTGGACCCCCCGGTCCCGTTGGATCTCAAGGTCTTCCTGTAAGTTCCAAGAATATGGAAGGCTGAACCCAGAAAGCTGGCTAATTTGGGATAACAGTACAAATAAAAACAATTTTAAAATAATGTCTTTGAAATCTGAATGCGTGTTCAAAAGTGGAAAACAACCAAAACAAACAAACAAATAAAAACAAGCCAAACTGCATTTCTCTTGTTAACGCTGAATATTTTGTTTGTTATGGGGAGGTGAGATTCATTATGAGAAATGATTTCATGGTATAGAGGAGGCTGATTTTGTTTTGCAATATTTGCTGCCTCCTTTTGGAAGATGGATGGACATTTGAGTACCACCCATATTGTCCTAGTTATGACTTCATGTTACATGTACGCTTTCTGTACTTCTTTAGGGTACAGTGGGAACTGATGGGACTCCTGGTGCCAAAGGTCCAACGGTGAGTAACTGTGTTTCTGATTCTTGAGGTCAAAATGGAGATAATATTTGGGCATAATTTCTAGAATTCAACCTTTCTGCTCATCATATCAACTTTGCTGTCTGATAGGGCTCTCCTGGTACCTCTGGTCCTCCTGGCTTGGCAGGGCCTGCTGGATCTCCAGGGCCTCAGGGGAGCACTGGACCTCCAGGAATTCGAGGGCAACCGGTAATGTTTCTAAGAAATAGTATATAGTGTAATGAAGCACAGACAATGTAACTTATCTAAATGAGTTCAATAATGATTATATTCCCTGGAAAATGAAAACTAAAATATTAATGCAAATGTAGATGTTTAAGGCCAAGGGGAATGTTATTAGCTTACATTAAACTTTAATATTGTCTTATTTAAAGTACCAAAGATAACCATTTCATAGTACACCTCATAGAATTTAAGAGTCACTGAATAGTGAATAGTTATGGAAATATTGCACAGCTCAGTGTGATGGACTATGAGGATTTAATTGAGATTTATAGTGGCAGTTTGACTAAAATGGGTTCAACAATTATTTATTGAGAATTAGTCTAGAGTGATTCTAACATAGTGCTTGGATTGAGAGTTTCCATATTTTATAGAAATTACTTATTAAGGAAAATAACGTAATAAGCTCGTAAGAAATAAGCATATTGAGAAGCTATGCTGATATATTTTTAAAATAAAAAATGTGTTTTTTTCAGTACTATAGACAAATGGTTTCGATTCTGTCCCAAATAATGTGGTCACACTGATAAATCCTTCCCAAGTACTGTTGAAGGATTCGCTGAAATGTCGGTGTGGATGATATGTCGCATTTAAATATTACCAGGTTCTGAATGTAGCAATCTGGTTCCAGGGCATAAGCCACAATTTATAATTAAAGCTTTACAAGCACAAATGCCCAGAACACTCCAAAGATGAAACACCCTCTTTGGAGCAGTAAAATGTAAGAAATAGAGCATAAATGTAAAATACTTTTGGTTCTGAGTGAACACATGTATTTCCTATGACAATCTCTTCAGTAGTTTAATTGGAGAAGTTGTAATAATTAGTCCTAATTTTAATGATCACATTTGAATATAACTTAAGTAACTTTAATTATTCTAGTATATATGATAAAAAAGCAAGACCCAACCAAAAATCTCTTTAAGGACACTATAAAGTAAATGGATTACTACTATATTATACTGAATTTTCTAAAAATGTATATACATTCTACACGATTTGGAAAAAGATATTATATCGATGAATCATTACAGGCTCAGCTGCAGAGTATGTTGACTTATGTATTGTAATTAATTAGAGCAGGTTGGACTGGCTAAATGTACTGCTTTTTATGATATTGATTTTTAAAATTTTAGGGTGATCCAGGATTTCCAGGCTTTAAAGGAGAAGCGGGGCCTAAAGGGGAACCGGTATGTCTTCAATTTAAAAAGTTTTTTTCTTAGTAGTAGGAAGAGCACAAATCCTGTTGGACACTGTATAGCTAAAAATGTTACAGTACTTAAAATAATAACAATTTGTATTATACTACTTTGAATGGAAATTGCTTAAAGTTTGTTACTTAGTTTATTAAAGGAGTCTACCAGAATCAAACACTTTTTTTAACCTGATGGTTTCCCTTCTGTTTTCCCTAGGGACCCCACGGTGTTCAGGGTCCAATTGGCGCACCTGGTGAAGAAGGCAAAAGGGGTCCCCGAGGAGATCCAGGAACAGTTGGTCCTCCAGGTCCAATGGGAGAAAGAGTAAGAGTGGAAGAGTAGAATGAATTCTTACAGACATGGGAGCATTTTATCAGCCTATTTGGGGCTCGTATGGAGAGCTCTCTTAAAGGTATCCTGGTGGCATGAAAGATGAAGTATTGGTTGCTTAGCAAAAGGCCAGCTGTTTGAACCCACTGCGTGCATCACGGGAGGACGCTATAGGCAGTTTGCTGCAGCAATGATTTACGGTCTCAGAAACCAGCAGAGCAATTCCACTCTATCTGTAGTTCTCTGTGACTCAGAATCAATGAGCTAATGAGGGGTGGAAGGGATAATTAGAACATAAAGGGAAATGATTTCAAGTGCCCTGTGCAGCCTAATATGGTTATCTGAGAATAAAAGTCACCAACTAATTAGTCCTTCTTTACTAATTCATTTATTCAACTGATATTTATTGAACTACCTTATGCAAATTTGATGTCCTGGTACTAAAAATACACCATTGCACCAGCCCCTGTGTTTAAGTTCATGGGTTAGGTATATAATGCAAAATTCAACAGGTAAATAAAAGTAAAATAAATTCTATGATTTAATGAGGATTATGTATACTTTAAAGAAATCCTGGTGGCTCTGTGAGTTACATATCAGACTAACCAGAAGGCTGGCAATTCCAATTTACCAGTCAACCAGAAAGCAGACGATGAAGCTGTCTGCTCTGACAGAGTTACATTCTCAGACACCCTGTGAAGGGGCACTGTGAGCTGGAAGTGAATTGGCTTGCTCATGGTTCCTAAGGGTTTGTAATACTAGAATGTGAATATGACATAAAAATATATCAATATCCATTTGGGTCATTTTTAGGGTTCTCCTGGCAATCGTGGTTTTCCAGGCTCTGATGGCTTACCTGGACCAAAGGTGAGGTTACCCCATCAGTACTGACATTCAAGTGGGGAAGACGGTGTTGAAAAGGAGGCTATTTTCCAGTGTGAGGCTCTAACCTTCGTCCAGATGGGTCTATATCCAAAAACGAATGGCACACAGTTAGGCTCAACTCCAAACCCTTATTGCAAAATCACTGACAGAGATCTGGGGGAAAGGCAAATAGCTAGAAGAATATAGAACTTTTCAGACTTTCCAGGAAACTTGACAGAAGAAGAAAGGGAGAAGGAAAACAGAAAAAAAATTCCTTTAGAAGATTTTACACACACACACACACACACACACTAATGATAACGTTCTATCGTAAATGATTTTAAAAAAACCACTATTATATACGGATTCCAATTTTCCAATTGACATTGTTTAAAGACATCTTTCAATAAGGATGTGAACAAACTATTGTGTAAGACCAATGACTTAAATTTTCAAAAAGAAAGTGGGCTAAGAACGATGAGCACAGGAATGAAGAAAATGTTCTAAAATGAGTCATGGTGATGATTGTACAATTCTTTTCATGTCACTGCTTTATTGAATTGTATGATACGTGAATTACATGCCAATACAACTGTTTTTGAAAGATTTATTCAAGATATACCCTAATAAAATAAAATAAAAACATACACACATTTTTTATTCCCTGCACTCCTCCTGTGTTTCCCCCACCCCCCTGACAAGCTCTATTTTGCTTTGATACAGGGGGCTCAAGGAGAGAGGGGTCCTGCAGGCTCCTCAGGACCTAAAGGAGGCCAGGGAGATCCAGGACGTTTAGGTGAACCTGGGCTTCCAGGTGCTCGGGTAAGAACACAGCAGTTGTTTCCGACTCCATTAACCCAGAAAAAAATCGTGCATGCATTCATTGAAAAAATCTTGTTCAGTTTGCTCTTACAACTTGGCAGTTATCTGTGCTTATACAGTTTTTACCCCAATTCATTATTTTTAAATGTTGATTTGCTATAGTCAGCAAATAAAGAAAACACAGCAACGTTGTATCTCCCTTTTGTAAGGAATATGTGTTAAAAGAATATATGATGTTAAAATTTATATTTTTTCTTTTTTTGCTAAGATCCTTGTTTGACTTTTGGCAGGGAGAATTCCTTATACCATTAACCAATTTAATTTTACCAAATTTCACTTGAACTATGAAATGGCCTTTATATGCAGTTTGCAACAAATGTTCCTGAAAGAGGAAGGACATATACAAAAAGCAGAAAGATATATTTAGCTCTGGATGAACTCTTTAATCTCTTTGCCCAGCATTTAATGTTTCACTTTACTAAATTTTACTATGCTTACTCCTTCTGCTTGGAAAACTGGCTGTGGGTTCACCTTTGCTTAGATATTCTTTCCCAGACACCTGACAAAGGTGAAATCACAACTGAATTATTGGTCAGCATAGTTTATAGTGAAGACAGTCCCTGATTTAGATTGTGTTTGAACTTGTAAGACTCTGAATGAACTAGAATTATCCAGTAGGAAGTTATAGCTTCAGGTTTTTTGAGGTCAGGGGCATCTAGCTCATTTTTTGAGTTTGGAATCTCTTTTATGAGGACATTTACCTTGCTGGAATCGGGCAACTGTGTCGTAGGGGCTGTGACAAGGTATTGATTACATGAGACTTCTAAGTCATCAGTCTCCTTCCCAAATAACTGGTTTCTCCTATGAAGACTCTCCTATGAGGAGTCCCACCTGGGGATGCCCTATGCGCCTCCTCTGTAGTTTCCATCTGAGAGGTCAGTGGTGAGAACCCAAGACTTGCTCATTGGAAAAATGATGTGAGAAGTTGCTTCTATTAAGATTACAGACATGGAAACCCTATGGGCAAGCTCCACTCTGCTGTAGAATCACTGTGATTCAGAATTGACTGACTGCAATTGGTAACCTTCAAAAGCCAGAGAGTGGGCCTTGCAAAGTGGAACTGACATTTTAAACGTTCTACTATTTTGACTCTTTTGCATGTTTACTTTAATTACATATCAGCAACAAACTGATAACACCTTGCATTTTCAGGGTCTGACAGGAAATCCTGGTGTTCAAGGACCTGAAGGAAAACTTGGACCTTTGGTACGAATTTAAATTCCACAATTATTGACATTTTATAATAAATATTTCATTTAATGAGAAGACCTTCATTTGAGGCTAAAGGTTTTGCTCATGCGGATGCTGATCATGTTTGCATGTTTATAAGGATCTCTGAAGTAAATTCTTAGGATATGTGCATTTACAAATTGACCAAAAATTTGCCAGATTCCATTGAGATTGAAATTTCATTGATTTGAAATTATTTCCATCACATCAATGAAAAAGTTGAAAAGATTGTATTCTTTCAATATTGCCAGTATTTTTGTATTAACAGTGCGGTTATTGATTGTTTTCCTTCTGATTTTACATGCTTAAGAGAGAATTAGGTGTGAACTTTGATAGCTTATATATTCTGTGCCCTGCCTTAACTGCAAATGTGAAATATACATCTTGAATTTTCATGACCTGCCAGAAAAAATGAAGATGAGACTTTTGTATAGAAGAAAATCAGAATAATCTATCTGATCCAAATAATCAAAATAACATATCTGATTTAAATCTAAATATACAAGAACAAATTAAGTTTTTTAAATAACGCTAAACTGCTTTGATTCCTTAAGATAAAAATGTAGGCTAAATGGTGCTCATCTAAATTTTATAGTAAATAAAGGCAAGTGACAATTTAGATGATGCAATGCTCACATAGACTTATATGGAACTGACAGTAGTCTGTAAATTCTTCAGGGTGCTCCAGGCGAAGATGGCCGTCCAGGTCCTCCCGGCTCCATAGGAATCAGAGGACAGCCTGGGAGCATGGGTCTTCCTGGCCCCAAAGGTAGCAGTGTAAGTACATTATCTAATATGTTTGCCACTTATCATGTTCCTCATGTGGTGCCAGCGTGTGATAAGGACATTGTATTAACATTTCAAATGACCTCTATTCTTTAGGGTGACCTGGGAAAACCCGGAGAAGCAGGGAATGCTGGTGTTCCAGGGCAGAGGGTAAGTGTCTGTTTTCTCTGTAAACAAAACAAAGCTATATAACCCTGGTGCTGTAGTGGTTACACACTGGCCTGCCAATCACACGGTCAGCAGTTCAAAACCACCAGCCACTCCTCAGGAGAGAAGCAAGGCTTTCTATTCCTGTACAGAGATGGAGTCACTGAAACTCACAGAGGCAGTTCTACTCTGAGAGATGGAGTCACTGAAACTCACAGAGGCAGGTCTACTCTGAGAGATGGAGT